TCCTTACGGTTCGATGTTGCCAAATGGCAACATGTTGACAAACAGCTCTGTGTTAGTTCTTTGAACTGGCGGATGGAATATGGTAGCATCCATATATAAAAGATGCAGAATATGCAGTATTAACATTTCTTTCTTGTTGTCTTCTGCGAGCCGGCCGGAAAGGGTTAAGAGTTGATATGATCTTCTCATAGAAATATGAAAGAAGATATTATTACTTACATTGTTCATATTTGATACAATGTATTGTATAAACTTGATCAAATATTTCAGGACAAGAAGAAAAAGTACTATCCATAAGAATGGTTTCAGCTGTAAAGAGCAATTTCAATTGTTCAGATGACGCAAATCAAATCATCCTCTGTCGTCTTGTAATCATCTTGTCAACAATCAAAAGGCATTCTCTCTCAATGTCTGTGTAAATACGTCAGGTATTTCAAACATATGAGTTGTGGGGATAATAGGCGTACCGCGATGACGTGCTTTATTGATTGCACTACCTGCAGGATAAGAAAGTTTATTCCTAATTATTCTCTTCATATGAAAACATTCACTTACTCATCTCCCTTTCGCTCGCTAAAATCGATATTGCTGCGAGTGACAACAAAATCTTTTCACATTCTTCATCGTATATACGTGGAATGGGTATTGTCTCTAGAATAGCTCGTTGTTTGACACATTCACAGAATTCACGAACAGTTTTGTCTTCTTCTGCAGGGTGACAATGTTCAGTGATTTGTCGAATAAAATCATTGTTTAGATTAGTATGAATTTTGGTCGAACAATCATTGAACGTACAGATCCAATATTTGCTGGTTTCGCCCTCTTTGTTTGATTTGAATAAATACTTATTCAATTCAATCATAGGTTTTCCTTTTTGGGAGAGAACGATAGGGATGATTATCGATGATTCTTCTGCAATTGAAGATGATGAAGACGCCGTAGTCATGATCACAAGTTTACAGACATGACGCTTAGGTGTTTATCGTTTCAATCGATCGATATCAAACGTGACGTGTCGTTATCACAACTGGTTTCAATTCCACGCCAATAGAATCTTTAGGAAAAATTACATCTCGTAGAGGATATTATGTTACGCCATGATCACGTTGATTTTGACCGTTTTGCTTAGTGTACTATGTTTAGAGAGAACCCTAGCTACCTTTTATTTTGATATAACTTGATAGAGCATCGTCTACTTTATCGAATTATATGGTCTTTATTTTATTTATTTTCCAGTTATTCTCAAAGTTTAGTAGTATTTGAGAAGCCCTGATTTTGAACTTTTGCATACTCATATTTCACGTCGATTGCAGTCATCGACGATGAAAATTGTTTTAAACGAAAAAAAGCATATTATGGTTTCTCGGACAAACAATGTCAAGCGAAAGTGATTGAATATTGCGGAAAAAATAAAACTTCATTGGCAAGATTTGCCTCATTTTCGTACCTATGGAAAACCGACTTGATCAAAGTTTGTGCACAAATGCATTCGTAAGATCACATGTAAATCTAATTAAAAGTATATAAAACGATAGAAGAATCAGTACTTTATTCAGCTACATGCTATATTCTAAGAGAAAAGATCTAAACGTTTGAGCAACTAAAACTTGATTGAGAAAAAGTGCAAAAATCATCTACAAAAAACAATGGAGAACTATGTTTTGGAAAATTTTCTCAGGTTTATAGCAATACTAAATGTATAGCTTGATAGAGAAAAGTGTGGCCTATTATTTTATATAAAAATAAAAAGTCTTAATGTTCCTCCAAAGTAATCATTAAGAAGTATTATTTGAGATCTAGTTTGAAAGTTGCTTGTTTAAAAAAATATTGAATGACTGTTTCATATAAACGCAACATATTTGTGAACAAGGATTAAGATAAACGACATAGAATCCATATAGTTTAATAGAATAGACGATGCTCTATCAAGCTATATCAAAATAAAAAGTATTTGAGGTTCTCTCTAAATACAGCAAACCAAGTAAAACTATCAAAATCAACGTGATGATGGTGTAAGTTCAACAGACAGGGGTCGTCTTTACGTATCACTCTCTCTCTCTCTTTCTTTATTCGGTCTTTTCCCTTTCGACGTTAGCCCATTCGACATTTTGACTTTCTATATCTTTCCTCTTCTGTAGTCTATTTCCGACTTTTTTCTTTCAATATTAGTCGATTCGGTCTTATTACTTTCGGCCTAACGACAGCACATCGAATTGGGGCAGTCCCGCCGGGCTCTAACCCACACCCCGGCCTGTTTCGAGCGTAGCAGAGTATATCTACGTCGCGGCGCAACACATCATGATCTCCAACTATACGACAGCGTTCATTGTTCAAAAGTCGCGTTTATGAGCGGGCTCTGTCTAGAAGTTTTACATGGGCCCATCGCAGTTATTTTTAGGGCACTACAAAGTAACAGAACTGGCCGTGGTTAAGATGATGAAAAAACAAGATAGAAAAAAGCAGTGCATGGAAATGAAGAAAGCATGCATAGGTTACGATATTCTCTTTCTCGTAGAGAAGAGTCTTAGAAACATAAATTGTTTGCTTGCTTGCTTGTGTGTCCGCACTTCACTAATTGGACGAAAAATCAGATGAAACTAATAATCTAAATCTCTTCCTAAAAAGTTTGGCCTAGGGATTTTTAAAGTTGAGGAATTCGAATCTAATGTTAGTTTTTTATGTTCTTTTAGAATTTTTTTCAAAGAATACACTGAAAATAAATCAATATACACAATATTATCTTAAAAATGTAACATTCCAAGTCGAACAATCCCACACTCGAATCCCATCGGATCCAGCATCGGATTTGTCGAACTGGGATCTGAAAGCAATATTTCTACGAGAAAGAGCTGAGCGAGCTGCTAGACGAGCGTTACTTGTGTTTTATTAGTTTCAGTGAAAATGGCATAGAAAATAGCTTTATAATAGTTTTATCACTAAGACGTTGAGTGAATACTGATCAAATGGTATAGACAGATAGATCAAAAGACACTCTGTTTGTTCATCAAACAGCATATTTCCAAATAAGTCTATAAAAGAGTACGGTACGACTCGCGATTTCCGATATGGCCTGTGTAGCAAGTACTCAAGCTGAATATTTTCAATTAGGGCACATATAGAGTTCGCCGTAATAGTCAATTAATATTGTATTATTCACCTTTGCTGTAGCTTGATCCAAACAGCTTTCGGCTGTGTAACAAATGTCTCAATTATTTTGAAATTTGCTTCTGTTTCACAGCATTCTATAATAGTATATTTCTTCAACAAATGTACCAATACTAGTTTGATTTCCAGAAACGCGAATCTCATACCAACACAATTCCGTGGCCCCTGTCCAAATGCAAGAAATGCCATAGGGTGTCGTTTATCTCGAAATCTTTCTGGATAAAATTCATTTGGATCATGAGGACCCCATAGATTTGAATCGTAGTGTATTGTATGCATATCGCCGACAACGACGGTACCCCTTTTCAGGCGTCCGTGATTTTTTATCTCATAGGACTCATCATACAGCTGGCGATCAAGCAGGGATTGCCCGATCGGATACATTCTTAACACTTCTTTGATAAACCAATCCAAATATTCCATGTTATTTAATGTATCAAAATCTAGTAGGTGATGACTGTTATTTGCATGTGTCAATACCTCGTTAATCAATTGAAATAGTTTTGTTTGCTCATCGGAGTGTGTGGCTAGAATATACATTATGTAACCTAGCGTCGTCGCTGTTGTTTCATAACCTGCAGCCATAAATATAAACACATTAGATTGCACTTCAGCTAATGTTAATTTGTTTTTTACATTGGATGTGTGTCTCTCATATGTCGAATCCAGCACCGAACATTGATTATCCTATACAATATACGAATTTATAAACATTGTCTCCCGCCCTCATTTATAGTAATCAATCTTCTCTATAACTTGGAAATGTTAAGAGTGACATGCTTCTTATTTCTCCTTATAAACATCAACCGTTTTTGATTGGCGCGAAAGCGGTTGATACCAGACAAAATTTTGCTTTTGTTAATAATCAAACAGCGAGGCAACAGAAATATCCCAACTATAGATCTGTTGCAGCTGAACTATTTTCAGCGCTGAATAATTCTACGCAATTTGAAAGTTAATTAAACAGCCACTTTTTTTAGACATCTTCCTCTTTGCTTTCGGCCTAACCTTTAAAGAAAATATATTTACTCCGCTCAACTAATCTGGATTGTGACATGTTTCCCATGCTTTTCTTTTCATCAAAATAGTTTTCAACAGGAATATTTTCACGTGGAATCTCTGAAGGAACTAGTCTGTCAGTATTTTAAACTTCTAAGGGCAAGAAAAGTTAATTTTTCTAACACCTTTGTACGCTACTCCCTCTACTGCAAGGAGGATCATGCAAAATATAGTTTATCTGTCTGTCTGTGTCACAATCAAAGATCATAAATTATATATTTCATTAATTAGCATACGGGATCGAGCGAAGGGTATCCGAGGTCGGGAATCTGTTAGTAGTTTATGTTTATGAGAACAATGATAACGAAGAAGTCCTGGATACGGGTACGAGTACGGGTGCGGGTGCGGGTGGCAAGGCTATACTTCGATGAGATATCACTAATGTGGTTTTTGGTCAGATAGCGCAATAAAACTTACGATCGCAATCACCTAGGCATAGAGACGCTGATGATGCTCCTGTATGGTAGATATCTGAGTCACTCTTTGGGACAAGACATCACTTCTCACCGGTAGACCTTGCATTGCCAAAATGCTTCAACTTTCGATAGGATTATTCTATACCGTATAATTTTATGTCATTTTGTTCGTCAGATGATGCGTAAAAAATCTCTGTATCGGTTTTTCTTTTTCTCCTATTATGGAGGAGAGCGAGCCGTTTCTTTGGCAACTGTGGATATGGAATAAAACGACTTTATGCATAGTACAGAATTCTCAATAAAATGTGTTTTAGTCTTGAGTAATCATGGCTAAAGGCGTCGAATAGAGTGTTATTGTTCCCCTTTGTCAGTCATTTAAAGTCTCCCAATATAGGTTTGAGTGGGACCTGTGCGCCTCACCTAGATCAGAGAATCTTCTAGGTAGGTAGCCTTTTTGTGCTGCAGAACTACACAGCACTGCAGGATTTTACTCAGATCGGTAGAGTTATGCGTTGCTTAAAAAAGTACTCTGTAAAACTTTAATGAGTTTCGGCAAACGGGAATCAGTAAGTTTCAAGCTTCGAGACCCTCATGTACTTGATGCACTGCATTGAAATCGATCACTGTTGAGTTGCCCATCTTAATAACTTTGACTACATATCGTTCCGAGGTAATACAGGAGTGTAAAGGAGTTCAAAAGTGGTGCCTACCTAGAAGATTCTCTGATCTAGGTGAGGCGCACAGGTCCCACTCAAACCTATATTGGGAGACTTTAAATGACTGACAAAGGGGAACAATAACACTCTATTCGACGCCTTTAGCCATGATTACTCAAGACTAAAACACATTTTATTGAGAATTCTGTACTATGCATAAAGTCGTTTTATTCCATATCCACAGTTGCCAAAGAAACGGCTCGCTCTCCTCCATAATAGGAGAAAAAGAAAAACCGATACAGAGATTTTTTACGCATCATCTGACGAACAAAATGACATAAAATTATACGGTATAGAATAATCCTATCGAAAGTTGAAGCATTTTGGCAATGCAAGGTCTACCGGTGAGAAGTGATGTCTTGTCCCAAAGAGTGACTCAGATATCTACCATACAGGAGCATATAATTCCTGTAAAAGAGATATAGGGAGATGCCGTCTTTCACGCTGCATATAAGGAGATGATTTTCAGGTCGTTCTAATACTAAAAAAGAGAAAAGAATAGCTCGATTTATAAAAAGATGCCTTTCTGTATTTTTACGAGAGAATATGTTTTTCGAGATTTTCGAATCAAAAGAGGAGTCGAAAAGGTTTAGAAATATACAGTTTTGTAGAGCTCGACGAGCTCCATCAAACTATGTAAAAAATCGAAGAAAAAGTTCACTTGATTTTCGAATTGGGTGAACCTTACAAATACTACATATCGCTTGATTTTCTTTTTAAGAAACTAGCATGGCATGTGGCAGTGTCCTAAAATTTGTGTCTTACAATTCTTATACATTAATGGAGTAATCGTATATAGAGAGTAGTACTTTGTGAGAGATTTATGATCCTGCTTTGCTGAACTGAACTCTGAGCAGTGTTAGAGTGATTTTTTTGTCCCTGTTTTGTCAAAACGGTACAATGAAGCTGTAATTCAGTCAACTCTTTGGTATTCTTTGTACTTAAATTTAGAGTAATCCACTGTCATAGGAGGACCTTGTTCGTCATTTGAAGATATTGCAGTCTTTCTGCACTGACATATTTATACATAGTATTGGGTTGGTGCATAATTAACGACCGTTTTTATTACCGTCTTTTGAACCTTTTTAATTTGACATTTCTTCTCAACTTTTTTTCAGATAGTATCGCCTACATTTGTTAGTAAGAATGCGTGTTGATAACCACGTTCATATACGTCATATTATGCTCTACCACTTCGAGAAAGGTCATACTGCCGCCGAGGTATGGGGTGATTTNCTTGCTGGGTGGGTCCCTCATGAACTCTCCGATCATAACAAGACCGAGCGAGTGCGCATCTTCAACCAATTACTTCAGCGAAACGACGAAAATCCATTTCTTCAGTTCTTTGTCACCGGAGATGAGTCATGGTTACTCTTCAAAAACGTCAAGCGAAAGAAGGTGTGCGTTAACCGTGGCCAATCCCCGAAAGGTATTCCACGAAATTTCCACTGCAAGAAGGCCATGTGGTGTGTATGGTGGGACCGCTCAGGAATTATTCACTGGGAAATCATTACTCAAATTCGCCAACAAAGTTTTTGTTACTGGTGGGACGACAAGGATGTAAAGCATGAATGGCCTATTCCTGACAGAAACGGAAAAAAGCAGCATAACATTAACAGTGACGTCTATTCAGCTCAACTCGATCGTTTGGAAGCCGCTATTAAAGTGAAACGACCTCGCAAAAAGAATCACATCGTGTTTCACCATGACAACGCCAAGCCCCACGTCGCACATCAAGTAACCCAATCAATCGACGACAAAGGATGGGAACTGCTTGAACACCCACCCTATTCTCCCACCGAAGCTCCTACAGATTATCACGTCAATCGTTCACTTAAAAATTGGCAGGCAGGCAAAATTTACGACGATTTGGACGATCTTGTCGATGATGTCAAAGCGTGGATAGCATCCAAAGATCGTCACTTTTTTGCACGTGGAATCGATCTTTTACCAAGCAAGTGGGAAGCAGTTATTGAAGTAGATGGCGATTATGCTCCAGAATGACCATTTGAACATGTATTGAGTGTACTTTGTTGTTCTTTTATTGAATAAATTTAGGGAAAAAAAAACGGTCGTTAATTATGCACCAACCCAATAATATTAAAAGACGTGCTATCTGCTCCGTATGGTGTATTATGAATTATCCAATATGTTTCTATCGTGCACCAAAAGGTACGATATGATCCTACTAATACAGGTTTATTCGCGAAAATAAATTAGGTATATGCATTTTCTAACTAGACTACTTATTTACCAGTGCTATTGAAATGCTCCTCTCTATTAACCTTTTCTTACAGATAGCTAAAGCTCAACATCTGAAATCGAAGTTGAATCCGCATAACAATCATAATGATCGCTAAGATGCATGGAAACTGTTTGGTTCACATTCGTCAACTCTTTTGGTTAAGGCTAATCTAGTAATCCATATAGGAGACTGTTTATAGCTGAATGCCAAGGGAAAATTTTATGATTAAGGGCTTTTCGAATTATTGATTGAGAATACATCGGATAGATACCTGAATTGAATATAAAACGAATTAATGTAAGGCTTACAAGTGAAAAGAAAGTAGCATTTAAGGAATGGTCTCTACGAAGGTTTCGTTCAGTTCAGAGCTCCAGAAAATCAGGACTCAGGACGAAAATATTCAGTTTTAATATGCAATCCTAGAAGTTTGGCATATTGCATATGAAACCTTTTTCAGAGCTCTAGTAGAGCATCAACGTTTTAGAAAGATGCGCCTGTGAATAATAACGTTTCTTGATTGTTCACTTACTTTTGTTTCATTTGGATCTTTCGACATTGAATCCAGTAATATTTGTAAAAGATCGTTAGGTGCGTCTTCCGTATTTTCCTGTTCTAAGCGCTTCATTATAATATCATGCGTTTTATTCGTTATCCATATGATAGGATCCTGTTTTATATGAAGGTAATTCGATAAAGGTGTATATTCATGTAGAAAGTACTTTATTTCGTTTAGCTTCCGATGTATATATCGGAAGACACCATGTAGTTCAGGTATCAATATGCTAAAATAGGCTAAAATCCGTTTGTTGTCATCGATTTCAAATACTTCGTTCGAGTATTTTAAAAATTCGTTGTTATGATCAGATTGCATGTTGGTTTTGACACCAAAGCCACAAGTCCAGATAACATCCATTGTTAAACGCTTAAAATAGGGCAATATATCGAACGGTTGGCTGTCACTTTGTTCACTTATTTTATCCAAAAATGTTCCTATACATTCATACATCAAACCTTCTAGAGATTTCATTTTTAGTTTTGAAAACGCTGGATTAACAGCCATACGTTGTCTTTTCCAACGGTACCCTTCGGCATGAACTATATGAACATATTCTGATTGTCTTTCATCTAGTTGTAATGGTTTTCTCGAATGAAATTTTGAAAATTGCCTTACGAACACTTCTTGCAGCAAATCAACATCTGATGTACAAATAAATGGTGTATGACCTAAAAGGAAAAATTTGAACTTCAAACCAAATATTTAAATAGTTCACTCTAATGTGAGTGATTATATGTATACATACCTTTATAAAATCCATATAATGCGCCATATTTCTGTGACCATAATCGCAGACATTCAGATTCGCAATTATCGTGATATGTAAGTTCTGAAAGGTTACCAAAGAAATACGTTGGTTTGGGCCCGGGTATATTTAGTTTTTTGAAGTAAGCATACTGGTAATAAACATAAATGCCATACGTGAAAATCAAGAACACAATACAAATGAGCAATAAGAAAAGAATCAACATGTCTTTGATTTGCTTGTATCTTCAATACCAAACTTCGTTAGTATAGTTTCTGATAAACTAAAATGCGAAGCTGAAACTGCCTGTTAGTGCATTGCTTATTTTCAAATAGTGGAGGACTGCATATTCAATCGAGTGTATAATAGACTCTCGTCGTAAACATTTTAATACGCCCTCTGCGCAAAAGGAAACCCTTCTTAAGTGACGAGTCCTCTGAAGCAACACTTTTGAAAGAGCGCTCTGTAAGAATAGAGCAATTTCTGGGCAGTTCGCTATTCTCGACACTATAGTACGAGATCGAAGATTATTTATCGCATATGGGGAGAGACTCTTTATACTGTTGTGCTCCAATCTGCACTATCATACAATACTGAATGATACAATAAAAAACAATCGAGCTTTACCTTCACAGGTCTACCGATATATTTATCTTCCATAAGATAAAACTTTTCTACATATTGTTTTGAATCTGTAGAAATGATTGTTCACAGAAAATTATATAGTGATCAAATATAAGAGTTCAAAACAAGATCAATGCCTTAAACCCCTTCCTAGTAGAAAAGTCAACCCTAAATATAAGGCTACTATTAATGTTATAATCTTCTTGATATAGTGCAGTAGAAGCCCATTTGATAAGAAATACGCGCATAACAAGACAAAAAGGCCAGGTTATTTCGTCGATAGGATAAACTATAAATAGTTTTCGCTGTTATGTTCAGTTGATATTTACTTCGGAGTGTTTTCTTCTTTCTGCATACATTTTTGGACCGCCTGTTTTCTCTTTTTGTTTATCTTTCTCTTACTGGAGGACTTTTTTCATCAGTCATCACCAATATATAACAAGTAACGCGGCACAGTAGCCGCTAAAACCATCTACTGAAATGACATTATAAGATCTCTCATGTTCTTGAGAGAAGAGGAATAAAAACAGGTAACGCTCGCCGAGCAGACTGTTGGCGTTTGTGATGAATCACACAACGATAGACTAGAGATTAAGATGGTCCTTCTAGTCTAACTGGATTAGGACATCTGCCCGTAGAGCAGAAAGTGTGGGTTCGAGTTCCACGAAGGTCACTTTTTCTCGATTCTTCTCTCTTGCGTTCTCTTTTTACTCCACTGTTTTCATAAGAACCTTACAAAAGATATATCAAATTATGTACAGCCTTCCGAAATTACACGAGTTTTTCTTGCCGACACTTCACGAACAACTTAACTACCTCAACACAATGATCTGAGATATTCGATCTCTCATTCATGAATCGAAGATATCCAATTTG